CGAATTTGACCCGAGTTTCGGGTAGGGGGGGGGGGCACGGATCCCATGTGCTTTTGTCAACGCTCCCCGACCCAATGGATCCCCAATGGAAATGGAGGGCAAATTGAGGGCTTCGGGTTGGGTTGGGGTGGTTTGTGAAGGGGCCCTGGGACACACAAATAAATACACACAAATAAAATGATTCCCCATATTTTCCCATATTTTCTGGGTTTCTGTCTTCCCCCCCACTTCCCATATTTTCCCATATTTTCTGGGAATCGACGATTAATTGTGTCTGTGTGTTTTTTCCCCTCCTGTGACAGACCGTGTGGCTTCTCGAGGCGCGCCCCCGCTGCAGCGCGTCGCGCCGCCCAGGCCCCCGAGCGTCCACGCCCCGAGCCTCGCCCAACCTGTGGGCCAGGCGGGGGAAGAGGAGGAGTAAAAAAAAAGAAGAGGAGGAGGAGGAGGAGGAGGAGGAGGAAAAAAAAGAGGAGCAGGAGGAGGAGGAGGAGGAGGAGGAGGAGGAGGAGGAGGGAGGGGGGGAGGAGGAGGGGAGGAGGAGGGGGAGGGGAGGAGGAGGAGGAGGAGGAGGAGGAGTACTGATTTCATGTCGGCCATGTTCTCCTACAGGCGGGTTTGGGGAGAAAACTTAAAAGTAGCCCAAAAGTGTTCAAAAATAGCCTAGACCCAAGAGAACAATCGTCCCAAGGCTATTTTGGAACTGTTTTTGAATATCCCCCTGTAGAGGGACACGTCCCACTGAATACTGACTCATAGAAGAATAAGAATAAGAATAATAATCATAATAACAATAATAATAAGAAGAATAATAATAACAAGAAACATACACATATTAATCATAATAAGAAGAATGCTCATACTGAGAAGAATAATAAGAAGAAGACGAAGAAGAGGGTGAGAGGAGGATATGGCCAAGCATGGGCAGGAGCGGGGCCGTACCTCCTCCTCCTCCTCCCTTCCCTCCCCTCCTCCTCCTCCTCCTCCTCCTCCTGTCCTCCTCCTCGTCCTCACACACCTCCTCCTCCTGCCTCTCCTCGTCCTCATCCTCAACCCCTACTCTCCCCCACTCCCTCCTCTCCCCTCCTCCTCCTCCTCCTCCTCCTACTCCTCGTCCTCCTCCTCCTCCTCTTCGTCCTCCTCCTCCTCTTCGTCCTCCTCCTCACCCCTCCTCGAGCCCCCCCGCCAGCCTCTCCCCCCCCGCGCGGGGGAGCCTTCCCGGTGACGGGGTGCTTGTAGGCCTGGGCGCTGCCGCTGGGGCGGTGCGCCGCTCCGCGGGCGTGCGCACGGCGCGGCCTCGCCGCCGCCACCGTTGTTGCCGCCGCCGCCGCCGCCGCCGCCGAAGTCGCCGCCGCCGGGGTCGCCGCTGCCGCCGCCGCCGCCGCCGCCGTTGGCGTCCCTGCCCTCCTCCGTAGCTGTCGACGCCCTGCGCCGCCTGGTTCCCCACTCCTGTGGCGTAGTATGTTGCACTTGTTGGCTTCACTCCCCGCGCTCGTTCGCTCTTCTGGCCTCTGGGGGCCGTGATCGGGGCCCGGAACCACCAGAAAACTACCCCAAATGAGCAGATGTCCCTGTGAAGAAGGTCCAGATCCCTGAGTGCCGCGAACCGAACACTCAATCCGGCGGAGGTTTGGGTCCTCCTCTTCATGCCCCCCTTCCTCCACGTTCACCTCATCCTCCTCCGCTTCTTCGAACCTTGGCCCCCTTTCTCCTCCTGACCCCAGCATCATCATCCTCAGTTCGCCCATCTCCTCCCTCTCGTCGTCATCATGATCGTCACCGTCACCACCATCACCATCACCGGCATCAGCATCATCATGATCACAACCACATTCACCATCACATGCACATCCACCATCATCAGCACAATCATGATATACGTCCTCATCCACATCATTGTCATCATCGTCGGCGTCGTCATCGACATCGTCATCGCCACCACAATATTCACACCATCATGGTCGCCATCGTCATTGTCATCATCCCCGCCATCGTCACATCATCATCATCATCATCATCATCATCATCATCATCATCATCATGATCGTCAATGTCGTCTGTTTCGCCATCGTCAACGTCATAATCATCATCACCATCATCATCATCAGCAGCATCATCATTCTCATATACACTATTATCGTAAACGTTACCATCGCCACCAGCATCATCACCACGACCATCACCATCCCCCACCACAATCACCATCACCATCACCACCACCATCGCCATTACCAGCACCATCACCTTCAACATCAACATCATCCGCATAATCATCATCGTCATCATCATCACCGTCACCATCACTACTACTACCTTCGCCATCATCATCACCAACCTCATCATCATCATAATCCGCCGACCCCTTGGGGTTCATCGGCGTGTGAGATGTTCCCCCTCCCCAAACCCCTCCCCCGGGAGCCCGGTCCGGTCCATTTGGAGGGGGGGGGGGGTCCGGCCGGACGGCCCCGGACGGCCCGGAGGTCTCATCCGCTCCCGAAAATCGTGGAAAAAACACATGAAAATGGTGTAGGGACGCGTCTGGTGGCCTCGAAATGGGTTTGGGACGCCCCACGAGCGCTCCAAGACGTCCAAGTTGGCCCGAAGACGGCAAAAGAGGTCCCCACGAGCCCCCCCCGAGGGCCTCCGAGATGCGTTCCACAAGGGTCCCTGGACGCAAAAATTGGGCCATTCCCTTCGTGAAATGTACATGATTAAATAATTCAGCTTTGGATCTTTCCGATGCTCCCCGACGGCCCAAGAGGCTCCCAAACCCGCTCCCGGAGGGCCCCAGAAGCCTCGCAGAGGGTCCTCCACAAACCCCTAGAGGGCCCAAGATGGGCCAACAGGCGTCCAAGACGGCCCAAGAGGGCTCCGAAAACGGCCCCAAGAGCGTTCCAGGAGCGCTCCGAGTTGCCTCCACGAAGCCCCACATGGTCCCAGACGGTCCAAGAGCGATCAGAAACATCGACGACGACCTCCCGACGGCTCACGAGGCCTCCCCAGACGCCCCCACAAGCATCCAAGATCCCCCCCAAGAGGCCCTCTAGACGCAAAAAATCGCTCGTTTCCTTCGTGAAGCGTATATTGTTTCACACGTGCGCCTTTGGGGGTGTCCCCCGCTCCTGGACGGCCCCAGAGCCCCCAAACCCGCTCCCAGACGGTCCAAGACGCCTCCAAGAGGGTTCCTACATAGCCCTCGAGGGCCCACGTCCAAGACGGCCCAGAAGGGCTCCGAAAACGGCCCCGAGAGCGCACCAGGAACGGTCCGAGTGGCCTCGAAGAGAGCTCCGCATGGTCCTCGACGGTCCAAGGGCGATCCAGAACGCTGACGACGGCCTCCAAACGGCTGAAGAGGCCCCCAAGACGCCCCAAAAGGGCATCCACGATGCGCCCCAAGAGGGCCTCTAGACGCACAAAATCCCTCGTTTCCTTCGTCCAACGTATATTTTTCACACGTGCGCCTTTTGGGGTGCCCCCCGGGTGCCCCCCGCTCCTGGACGGCCCCAGAGCCACCCAAACACGCTCCCAGACGGCCCAAGACGCCTCCAAGAGGGTTCCCACAGAGCCCTCGAAGGCCCCAAGACGGGCCAACACACGTCCAAGACGGCCCAAAAGGGCTCCGAAAACGGCTCCGAGGGCGCTCCAGGAGAGCTCCGAGCGGCCTCGACGAGAGCTCCACATGGTCCTCGACGGTCCAAGAGCGATCCAAAAACGCTGACGACGGCCTCCAGACGGCTGAAGAGGCCCCCAAGACGCCCCAAGAGGCTTTCACGATGCGCCCCTGGAGGGCCTCTAGCTGTATAAAATCGCCCGTTCTCTTCGTAAAACGTATATTTGTTCGCGCGTGCGCCTTTTGGGGTGCCCCCTGCTCCGGGGCGGCCCGAGAGCCTCCCAAGACCGCGCCAAGACGGTCCAAGAAGCCTCCACGAGGGCCCCGCGACAGGCCAAGAGGGCGCCAAGACGGGCCAAGAGAGGCCGAGGACGGCCCAAGAGAGCCCCGAAGACGACGCGCGCGCGACTCGCGGTTAGATTCCTCGCAACTTGCGCTGCTTCCCGCCGTGCTCGTCACTTGCCTCCGCAGGGCGTTTCGGCGGGTCTCTCCGCGGCTTCGTCCCGCCTTATAGCGCTTGGCGCAAACCACCAGAGTGCCTCGGTGGAAATAATTAATTCTTCTTCTGGGCTATCGACAGATGGCCGCCGTCAGTGAACGTAGGCTTTGATCCGTCCTTCTTCAGGGGGCATGCGGAACATTCCAACTTCTTCGCCGCCTGCCTTTGCCCGTGGCACGCTCGGCACACCGCCGAGCGATGCTCCGAGCCCATCGCGAAGAAGTGCTCACCTGCTTATCTGTCAGGTGCGTCCTGTCCGTGAATTCTCGCTCTTTCCCATCTGCTTCTTTCGGGCGCGCGGGGCACGCGGGCACTCGCGGCTGGTTGCGTTCTTCCTGGCGCGCGCGGCGCATGACTGGGCGATGGTTCGAACCCGTCGCGAAGAAGTGCTTCGCGTGCGTTTCCGTCAGATGCGCCTTGTCCGCGAATTCTCGCTCTTTTCCATATGCTTCTTTCGGGCGCGCGGGGCGCGTCAGCACTCGCGGCTGATTGCGTTCTTCCTGGCACGCGCGGCACATGACTGGGCGATGGTCCAAACCCTCCGCGAAGAAATGCTTCACTTGCGTATCAGTCAGATGCGTCCTGTCCGCGAATTCTCGCTCTTTCCCATCTGTTTCTTTCGGGCGCGCGGAGCACCTGAACGCCCGCGATCGCTTGTGACGCGCGTCGCAGTCGCGGCATTTCACTGGCCCATGTGGGCTGCGCCCGTTTTATAATAGTGGTTGATTTGTTATGTTGTCAGATGCGCCGCGTCCGCGAATTCCCGCCCTCTTCCGTCTGTGTCTCTCGGGCACTCCGAACACCTCAGCGGCTGTTCCTGGTGCGCGCTTTGTTGAGCAGTGTTCGTTGCATTCGACTCCGCTTTCTTCTGCGATTGGCTCCACTTGTTCCATCCGCCTGTCCTCCTCCCTGCGCACTTCTTGCAGAGCTTCTCCCCTGCGCCCTTCGTGGCGCGCTGGTTCGCCGTAATTTCTGCCTCCGTCTTCAGGAATTCACAGCATTCAGCGCAACGGATCTTGAATTTGTCTCGTACTTTCTGCTGCCACCCCTGAAGCTCTTTCCGCGACTTCCTCCGGGCTGGTGGCCCTGCGCACCTGTCGCATTTGCTTGTCCGCACGAACACTCTGATCCTTTCGGACTCGGCCCCCGCCGCTCTGGAGACCATCTCGGCCCATCGGTCACAAATCGCGCACCACTTTTCCCCTGCCCCCTTCAACATCTCCGTGCGCTCGCAGCAGAAGCTCGGGCCCGACCTCGCGCCGAACTAATTCCTGCTGAATTCAACCTTTCCTTCACTTTCCGACATTTCCCGCATGTTTTGCGCGGCGTCAGCCTCTCTTCGACGTCGGGCCACGGCAACGCTTCCCCCCGCAACTTCTGCAACAACAATCTCGCGCCTTCCAATTCTCCTTCTGTGTTCGGCTGTCTCGAAAATGGCCGATATATGAGCAGGCCCTGTCGAGTCTTCACGCGCGCTATGGCCACGTAGCTCGACATCCAGCTCACGTTTCTGCCTTCCTCCAAGTCTGCTAATACCGCGTCGAGCGTTCGCCCATGCGCTGCGCGCGCCGCGCGCGCCAACCCAGGCGAAATTATAAACTGTCTTCGTCGCACCCCCAGCAAAGGTATCCTTCGATACGAGTCCAGATGCCACGTCCGAGCGCGAGGGGCTATGGGATGCAGCCCTGGTCCCGGCATCCCTTTCAGCGTCCACTTCTCGGTGCGAAAGTCCAACACGATTTGCCTTGGCATCTTGCGCAGGACTCTCGACGACACGTCCAGCACGTCTTCTTCTTCTTCATCTACCACCCATGAATGTATCGTCGCGCGGCACCCTCGTAGCAATTGCTTCTCTGATCGGTCCAAATGGTCCGTCAGTACAACTGGCATGCCCACGGCGTGCGGTAACCATCCTGGCATGTCTGCACAGGCCTTGTCGCGGTATCCGAGCCACCGCACTTTGTCTGCTGATGTGTACGGCCTTTCCTGGTACGTCGCGTGCGTTGCCTCATCCCGCGCATAAGCCCACGAAATCTGTTTCTTCTGGCGCGCAGCCCAGTCGACGGCCCGCTGCCGCGCTACCTTGCACTTCACATCCTGATTCGGATATATGGCAGTGGCTTCGACGAATT